CTGGTCCCACTACCATGGATCCCTCAAACAGGCCAAGATACACATCTGTTGCCCACATGCAGAGGGTCTAGTTTAGTCCCATTCAGTATTTCCAACTTTTGGTCTAGTGTCCATGAATTCCCATGAGCTTAGATCAGCTCTCTCCATGAATGTTCCCATCATGATCTTAATACCCCTACTTGTTTATATAATCATTTCTCCTCTTTGACCGAACTTCTAGAGTTCTGTCTGGTGCTTGGCTGTGGATCTATGCACTTGCTTTTTTCAGTTACTGGATGAAGGGTGTTTGATGACAGTTAGGGTAGTCACCAATCTGAATGCAAGGTAAGGCCAATTCAGGCACCCTCTCCACCATTGTTAAGATTCTTAGCAGGGGTCATACTTTTTTTTTTTTTTTGCTGAAATTTCTCCATAAACTCACGATTAGTCCCTCTTTGAAGATATCTCTTTCATTGCTCTCCCACTCCGTTCCTCCCTCAACTTAAACATCCTGTTCCATCATGTTCTCATCCCTCTTTCTCTTCTCACTACCATGCCCATGATCAGTTTACCCAGGAGATCTCATTTAATTCCTCTTCCAAGGGCAATTTATTCAACACTCTTTAGATCCTCCTGTTACTCAAGTTTTCTGGATCAGTGGATTGTAGTCTGGTTGTCCATTGCTTTACATTTCATATCCATTTTGCCATTATTCCTACATTTTGTCAGCTGTAAGCTGATTACTTCACATCTATCCTGGGAACTCAGGTGGGTCCCCCTTAATAAGGTGCTACAAGATTTGATAATTTTTCTTCCTGATTTTGGTCTAGCTTTGATGTGATCAATTCTTATCATGCTCAGATTCATTCTTTGTGAACTAGGAATGGTTATTCTGTGTTATTGCATGTTGGAAACAGTAGTCTCACTTAAGTATAGAGTGCATTCAGATAAAAAGTAGTTGTCACTGTGTAAAAGTTGAATAAATGTGGGTTAGAAGATATGGCAACCATAGCCAGATATTTTCAAATACATGTTTCCCCAGTTGATAGACACTTTTAGGAACGAGTAGTGTTGTGACATTTTTTAATGGGTGTGCTCAGGTGAGTGGATTTTAAGACTTCAAAAGCCTAGAATTATGCACAGTTACTCCTTATGTCCTTCTTGAGCTTCCACATGTGGGCTCTCGGCTTTTTTCCTTTGTTTTCTAGGCCATCATTGCTCTAGCAGTCTAGAACTGTAAACTAATTTAATGCTTTATTTTATACATTGTCTTGGACATGGTGTATTTTATACACAAGTGTTCTGTGGAAGATTATACAGAAAATCTCCCATTCTAGCTATAGAAACCAGAGAGGAGCTTTTTTGTAAATTTAGTTTTAGAGCAAATCTCAGGCTTTTGAAGTTAGAAATGATCCCAAGAATTAAAGACTTCTATGAAGAAACAATACTGTTGTAAACATTATAATTTATCTTTATTCAACCAACATGAAATTGTTTGGAAAATCTCTCTTTTTCAGCAGAGTGTCATGCTAAGAATGATAGTCCAAAGGCTCAGGAATAAATGTGTATAAATACCTATTAAAAACTCAATATGTGCAGTACTATTCTCAGTGTATCAACATCAACTGGGGCATCAAATGAGTCCCTGTTTTAATCAAAGAAAATAACTCACAATTATTTACATATTTACAAATAGTCTTAGGTTTTTCAGTGATGAACCATACTTTGGAAGGAAATATATAAAATGACCATTGACTCAGACTTACAGATGCCAGGTTGAATTTGTCAACAAAAGCCTGAGATTTATAGTCTGTGTGACCATGTTTGCAGTTTTTAGCTTTGAAAATTTTTCTGTGAGGCCAGGGCCAGACACTTGTAATGATTTTAAAAGGTATTGTATTGCTCCAATTTTCTAAATCTCCTTTTCTGGATGTTATTCTGTTTTATTCTCTCTCTCTCTCTCTCTCTCTCTCTCTCTCTCTCTCTCTCTCTCTCTCTCTGTTGATATCAACTATGTAGCACATGATTTGAAACTCACCGGGCTCTTCCTGTCACTGTCTGAAGTGCTGGTACTAAAAGGGTGCAGTACTATGCAAAGCTGGAGAAATAATTTTTATGGTGCAATAATTTCTTCCTATGATTTTGCTTTGGTTGTTTTTAAAAATCTAGTTCATTCATAATTTCATTTGTATGGGTGTTTTTCCCGTATGCACATCTTTGTGTCCCCTCATGCCTGGTGTCTACGGAGGCCAGTAGATGGTGCCAGAACACCTGGTACTAGAGATACAGACAGCACTGAGCTTCTGTATGTATTGGGAATGGAACCTGTGTACTCTGGAAGAATCTTCAGTCCTCTTAACTTCTTAGATATTTCCCTACCAAAGTTTTCTGTTCTTCATCATTTTCTGTCCAATGCAGCCTAATCATGGTCAGAGGCCTGAAGCTTATTTAAAAGACTTGAATTCTCCTCCAGGTGAGAGAATTACCCCAGCTATGGGTGAAGTTCCAAATTATTCATCCCATACAGTATTGTCAGCCCCTAAATCATGAAATACAACTAAAAAAACAAACTCATTAGATTGTATTCAGATATTTCAGTGGACTTGTTCACACATACTCAAGTAAAACATTGGAAGGAAAATATATGAGAAGGGATTGAGGGAAGACAAAATAGAGGAAAGTGATGTAATGTCTCTGTACATTTTAATTAAATTTTAAAACAAACTATAAACAAAAGAAGTGTGGCTAGAGAGATGGCTCAGCAATTGAGAGCACTGTGTGTTGTTACAGAAGCCTCGGGTTCAGTTTCCAGAACCCACATGATAGCTAACCATTTGCTATAACTCTAGTTTCCGGCATCTTATATCTTCTGACCTCTGAAAGCACTGTGCACTTACACATGCAGAAAAGGCACACACATAACTAAAATTTGAAGCAATGGTTAGCAACGGGAAAGCATGGAATTCTTTACAGGGAGGTCACAGCCCTGAGACAAGAAGCTGCCAGAGTTAGTTAAAAGAACTCCTTCTGGTCTAGAGTGGAAGCAGTTGTGGCCTTTTCTGAGCCAACATGTTCTGAGACTAAATCTGCCTTGTTCTCAGGTTAAAATTGATCACTAGAGACATCCATCTAATAACTGATTACTGATTGGTGACTCTTCCTTGATGCTCTCTGTGTTTGTGTTCTCTGTAATTTACACTTGTGGAATTGTGACATTGGCACACTTTCTTGTTAGAGCTAACATCCTGATTAACAAGAGGATATGTTCCAAAGCATTCGGCTTTTACGGTGACTTTTATTTGATTTTCAACTAAGAACTTTTAGTACAAGATAAACTTGCCAGAGGCATTTCTTTCCATTATTTTTAATTTACATATTTCTGCATGACTTTGAGATAAGGATGTCCCGAAATGTCCCTGCTATTACATAGTCATCATGTTTGTCATGGATTTGTTGAGGTGGATTTGTTGGCAGACTATGTTTAGGAGGTAGGGAGAACTCCACAGGAACATGCCCACACTCCCTAAGTAAAATCCCCATGCATTCCTTTTTTAGGAAAAGCATTGCTTTGGAAATAATACACATAGTCTACTTGTCAGTTGAAGTGAGAAATTTTATTCATTTCTTTTGTCTTGGCTGCTGTGTTGGATATTCTGTCTAGTCAAGCTGACTACCTCTGGAAGTAAAACTGAACAACAGGGTACACCAATAAGGGGTTTCTTTTATTGAAGGTTTTGAAATGGGAAGGCCCATCTTTAGTCATTATCTATTGATGTGATAAGAACCACCTTTCGCAGCTTGATGGTAATGTGCAGTTTAATCCAAGAATTCTGGAAGTAGAAGCACTTGGATTTTCAGGGTTTGTGACCAGCCTGGTCTAGAGAATGTGATACAGGCCAACACAGATAAACAATGTCTCGAGAAAACAAAAATCAAGAAAATAATCAATCAAAAAAATTCCACCTATAATCTGGATCACACCTTTTGGTGGCAGTCTATTTATATAGGGATATTAAAGAAGAAAGCATTCTCTCTATTTACCTGCTTGACATAACTCTGGCTACCAAGTTCATTCCTTTCATAGCAGTAAAGCCTACTTCTTCAAAAATCCTCCTGGATACTGAAAACCTGCTGACACTCCTGATTCATGGACCAAAAAAAAAAAAAAAAAACCTGAATTCTTCAGCTTTCCTTTGGTAGGGAGCCATTGTTAGAATAACTGGACCACAGCCTCTGAGAACTTCTAATAAATATACTTTCTACATACACGGAAAGTTCTGTCTACCAGTCCTGTTCAGGTAGAGAACCTGGAATAATGCAAGTAATTTTTCACTTGCCCCCTGAGGAAAATGTCCTGGCTCACCATAGTGCCCATGAAATCATTCTTCCTAGCCCCATATTCTTTAAGTATTCAACTTACCATATAGACTACACTTTTTATTATTAATGTTTAGTAAAGAGTTTGACCAGAAATTCAGAACTAATACAGCAATGCAGTGGAGCTTTTACCCACTTTTCTGGCAGGAGAAAAATATATCATCTTGGATGGAATTTGGTGCTTGGGTTGCTCTCATGGCTGTCAGAAGTGCCTGTGACTCTTGATGTCAGCGTGAAGTCACAGAACAAAATCATCTTTGGTTTCCTAAAATCTGTACTTATTAGCATTCTGTGCACCGTTCATTTTTTGAACAGGAAAATCAGTCTACTCCACATTGTGTCATGAATGGGCTGTGCTAGCTAGTCACATCATGTCCAGGAGGAAGAAGGCAATTTGATTGTGGATTGCAGGAAGATAGCTGTGTCATGTACTTGAGAAAGGCATAAGTGATATTGAAATTCACATGTCTGCAGATCTGTAAAAGTCTGGGTCTGGGGTGTAAAACACAGCCAAATAACCCTGCGCTGTTTCTTTAAATATACTGTAAGTCTCAGGGAGTTGCTCCTGTCACTCAAGCCTCACTAGCCAATCAGGGACTCCAGGCAGACCTGTCAGTCAGAAGTCTTGCGGGTCACTTCCTGGCGCCATGTTGCCGGCTTGATTTTACAGCAGAGCAGGCGTCAGGGGATTGCTTTCTGTGCTGTGAGCGCTACTGCAGGGTGCTGTGAGGAGAACATGGGTGAGCCAGGAAGCCACAGCATGGTGAGTAAGGGGTTGCTCTTCCCAGATGGGGGAAGAGAGATCCGTGAGCCATGGGAGACAGTGTGGCAGGCCCTCGCCGTGCCAGGGTAGGAATCTGCTGCTACGATCAGTGTTCTCTGAGGTCCCATGTGGTCCTTGCAACTCCCAGGAAACAATTCTTTCCTATAAATAACTTCCCTCTGTGGGCTGCAACTGTGTGTTAGAAACATCTCTGTGGTCCACATTTTGATAAGTATGGAAGGCAAGGTCCCAAATGTGGAGATTCCTAGTTTTTCTAATATTTTTCAGAAGCTTTGCCCTTTGCATTTAACATTGAGGAGTAAGATGCGTTTGGAGTTAATTTTGTGGCGTTTGTAAATGGCATCCTTGCATTCGTTCCCACTCCACCACTAACCTGTGGTGCCGAAGAGTAAGAATTGTTGATATAAGGGCGTTACCAATTCTTTTTTTTTTTTTTTTTTTTTTTTTTTTTTTTGGTTTTTCGAGACAGGGTTTCTCTGTGGTTTTGGAGGCTGTCCTGGAACTAGCTCTTGTAGACCAGGCTGGTCTCGAACTCACAGAGATCCGCCTGCCTCTGCCTCCCGAGTGCTGGGATTAAAGGCGTGCGCCACCACCGCCCGGCCAAACCAATTCTTATGAGATATTTTCCTGAGGTAGAATTGCCTCTAAATTATCCAAGTTAAGTAGTATGCTAACTAGGCCTGTTAGAGATTCGAATGCTAGAATACAAAGTTGTTTACAAGGATTGTTCAAACATTTGACCTCTAAATGATGACAAAGACACCAATGATTTATAAACAGCCACCACACCCATCACTATATCAATCACAAACCTTTAACCTGCTACTTAAGGGGAGCATTATAGGATCATAATGAACATTAGGACATGCTGTGACTTAAAGTTCCCGTTTCTTTTTTTTTTTTTTTTTGAGATAATTATAATTCTACGCAATGCACATGATGAGACAAGGTGACAAGTATTTGAAAAGAAAAACACTATTGTGTTGAGTGCTGGCTTGATCACTGATGTCTTTCCATTTAGGGTCCGACTCGTGGAGAAGGAACATAGCTCCTTCTCAAGCCCAGGGACACTCCTAGCAGAGCTAGAAACAGCCTAGTGTTATTAAGGATTATATTCCTGTTTTTTTCCAAGTGCTATTGATTTACTGATTTCTCTTTATACCAGTGAGTTTTCTAGCTCAGGCTTGCCCCCACATTCTGTACCTGAGAATTGCTTTGAACACAGCTAATTCTGCCTCTGCTGCCCTCTGCTGGGAAAACACTCTTGCAGCTCCTTCCAGGCTGGGCTTTGACTGGTCATTGAGAAGGAAAAAGAGACCACCAGTTAATGAGAGTCCTCTAATCCATTTGACTTTTCCTGTGGACTCACTATTGAAGAGAGACATGTGAAATAATTGAGTCCATTTACCTACTCTGTAGCTGTTGAAGGCAGAGTGCAGAAAGGGGAGGGAAGGAAGCATCATGAGAGACGTACTGCTTTCATAGCTGTTAAAATTTATTGGAGCCCACAAGAGTATACAGTCATTGCACAGACCAATAAGCAGATCCATGGGAACTGTATATGTACTCATCCACATGGAACAACCTATTTTGCAGAGCTGTGGGAACACTTGTCTTTTGTAAAAGTCACCATCATATCTGTAAAATACTTGTTAAGCCAAGATTCTTTCCTTTGAAATGGGCCTCATTCCCAGAACACCACAGCAGAGCAACCTCTGCTTGATCAGTGGACTGTCCTTGCTCAGTTTCCCCACACAATGAGGCCTTGGAGCAATGGCTTCACTCTTTGTTCAAATAGTCAAATTTACATAGAGTCAGTCCCACAAAATTACCTGCTAAGCAGACCACATAGAAATTTCTATAGAAGACAGACACTGAGCAGGAAGGCAGCATGCCCCACCTTTGCTAACAAACAAATCTGGGTGTCCCAGAGGTGTGTATCATAGCAGAGATTAGATGAGGACTATGGGTGAATCAAGGATTCAGGGATGTTTAATAACTTTATCTTAGGGATTGGAATGTCAGAATCTTCCCTTTGGATGCTGGCTTTTTCCTAGGTCAGGTCACCTATTCTGGAGTACTGCTTTGTCAGGTTCTACCTGCCACTTTTTGTGATCTTGATATGCATATTATTATTGTCCTTGCCTATGGATTTTTTTAACCACGTCTGTTAAAACTAGAATTCCCATGGAGATCTGCCCTTACTCTTCTTCTTCTTCTCCTCCCCTACTTATACTACTTCCCCTTACTCTCCTTCTTTCTTATCCTTATTCTCCCTCTCCTCCATGCCCCCTTCTCTTCATTTTTCCTCTAGCATAAAAAATAAAGAAGATGCCGAGGTAATGTACTTGAGTGAATATTTTACCCTGAGATCCATGCTTGCCGTAGGTATGCAGTTCTGAACCCTGAGGGGTTATTCGGGCTGGTACTCAAGTCCATTAGCAATATGGAGTTTTGTAATCAGTTTTAGATGATTGATAAATGGCATGAGTGGCCATTTTTGGGAGTCCACAGACAAAAGCAATGAAAAATCTGGATAAAGAACTGACTTTATCAAGAAGCCCAATTGTTGTAGTTTTACTACTTGAACCAAAATACAAGATCTCTGTAAACTGTTATGACCTTGCCTAACAGGACTGTTGTCCCTATTTACTCAGGAGATCTTGTCTATTTCCCCTTTCCAGGTGGATCCACATATGTTTCTGTTAGGTTCTCCTTATTACCTAACTTCTCTGTGGTTGTGAACTATAGACTGGTTTTCCTTTGCTTTATATGTAGTATCTACTTTGAATTGAGTAATACTGTTTTCTTGATTTTGAGTCTGGGTTACCTCAAACAGGATGGCATTTTCTAGTTCCATCCATTTCCATTGCAAGATGTCATTGTTTATTTTACCATTGAGTCTTACTCCATTGTATAAATGTGCCACATTTTCTTTTATCCATTCTTTGGTTGAGGGGCATCAAGGTTGTTTCCAGATTCTGGCTATTACAAATAATCCCGGTATGAACATAGTTGAGCAAATGCCCTTGTGGTATCATTGACATCCTTTGGTATATGGCAAAGTGTGGTATTGCTGGTTCTTGAGGTAGGATGATTAACAATTTTCTGACAAACTGAAATACTGTGGAGAGACAGTTTTTTTTTCTTGAATTTAGAGTCTTGCCTTTCACTATTTCTATGGATATCTGTGTTTTCCAGTTGTTGCTATCTTGATGATGTTTTTCTGCTCCTTAAGTGATTGATGTGGTTAACACACTGGTTTTGATTTTTAAAACTTTCTAATATATTATGGTCTCTTTGAAGTGGATTCACCTGTCAGCATATGTAGCCTAGAGTCTTCTGAGGAAACATCAGTTGAGGGCATGAACACTCAAAATCACTAGTTACCAAGTCTTTGAGAAATTGGGTTGATTGATTACTGATGTAGGAAGGCTCTTCCACTGAGTATGGCAACACTCATACAGAAGTGGGGCTGAACTGGGTAAGAGAACTAGCTGAGCATGAGACAGTGACTAAGTGAGAAAAAGCTAATAAAAACAATTTACCATGTGTTTTTTTTTTGTTGTTGTTGTTTTTTACTTCGGTTGCTAACTTGAGTTTCTATCCTAAGTTTCCACAATGATGGGTTGTGGTGACAGTATCAGTCCAATAAACCCTGAGATGCTTTTGGTTAGAATTTAATCCAGTAAGTAAAAAGCAAGTTATAACAAGATGTGGTACATCAGAGTGATTTTTTTGTTGCTGTAAAGTTCCTGGGATTAGGGACTTTTGGAGGATTGTTGAAGATATTATGACTTTACTTGGCATAAACTCTAAAATTTGTATAAAGAGCTACACTAGTTATTATTATGGGACTATGAAGGTGGGAATCTTGAGAGTAATTCAGACAGTGAAGATTGAGCTTATAGCATTTCTCCAGTGGGAAATAGACTCTATGAAAATTAAGCTAGAGGTCATTTGTATTATATATTTGCCCCAAATAATTCTTCTTTCTCTATTACCTGAGTAATGTGTAAGAGTAAATTAAAACATATTAAAGTGCTGATTTCTTAGGTAAAGTGTTGATGGCAGTGGGATGGTTATTATTGATGACTCATTCAGGTCTACAGTGAATATTGAAACAGGATGTATAGAAAGAAATGAAAAGGGCTGGAGAGATGGCTCAGTGGTTAAGAGCACTGCCTGCTCTTCCAAAGGTCCTGAGTTCAATTCCTAGCAACCACATGGTGGCTCACAACCATCTGTAATGAGGTCTGGTGCCGTCTTCTGGCCTACAGGCATACACGTAGAAAGAATATTGTATACACAATAAATAAATATTTTTTAAAAAAAGAAAGAAATGAAAAGTCTGTTTGATAGAGGAAAAAAGCATTGGGGAGTTTCAAATGGGAGTTTTGTTGAGAAACAGATAAAAATTTTCAAGTCGATTGTCACCATTAAAGAAAAGCCCATTGCTCTAGAGTGGAAGCCAAGCAAGGTGCTCTAAGGGTATAAGATTCCATCTAGCTTGACCTTCAGTTAACGGAAGGAGTAAACAATGTGATTCCAAGTTCCAGGAATCAACTTTCTACAAAACCTGCTGCAACTCTGGTCCAAGCAACTCTGGATGGGTCCATTACAACTTAGTAGCCAAACTTGCCTTAATCACCCATGTTGTTCTGGTTCTGGGAACAATAAAGATGCCAAATGTAAAGGTTATGGATTTTTCCTCTGTGGTTTTAGTTCAGCACCGGTAAACCCGTCTATGTTTGGCAGGGTCAGTATCCAAGTCAGGAGCCTTTGATAGTTTTTTGCATGAAGCTGTGACGATGAATCTTGTGTTCTTTTGAGAAAATCAGATACTCACATACTAAACTATGAAGCATTTGCCTTGGATAGATGCATACAGAGAGTGTAAATAACAAATGAGAGACATGAAGGAAAAGTTACAGGGATAAAACTATTTAAGTTCTTTGAGGTTGAAGCTCCTTGTCTCT